TTTGCTGGCTGTGTAGCGAGTATCCACATTCTCCTGTAAGCATCCTTGTTTGCATGGCAAACAGCTGTTCTGCACATATTTTCCTTGGGTGAGCAAACAGAAGTGAAATAAGGCAGTAGCTTGGGTGTCAGGAATGTGAGTCCATAGCTGTGATTTTACTTACTTATTTATTTATTTATTTATATTCACTCACTCCACTAAAACTATTTCTTTGACTACCAGACATACATAATTCCTACTATGGGATTCCACTGAAGTAGGACATTTGTGCAGGCCTCTTGCCAGAACAGTTGCCACCCTAAGTCAAAAGCTATTTTCTCTTCTGGATGTCCTTGAGCTGTATCAATCTGCCCTATGTGGCTTCTTATGCTGCTATGAGCTGTGGTGACTGCTTTACAGGAAATCTTATCGTAGCATTTAAGGCTTTTCCACTGTCTGTCATTTTCCTGCTGGAGGGCAAATCCGGTGTGGAGGACCCATGCCTGTTATTTAGCTTTTCCTTTTCCCAGTACACACTTCAATGTATTAGCTTCACCTGCTGACAGTGATTCCTCTGAGGACTACGTTAATTTTTTGGGCACAAGTAAACTCAGTGGAAGAAGCAAATATTTAGGTTGCTGGAGACACCCTAACTTATGCCCTACACTGTCAAGCCCTCAGTGTCTCCTGACTTCTGTGCTCCTAGCTACTCTGCCTCAGAAAGAGGATTGAACACATCTTGATCCTACCTAATGTACTGCCTGCAGGTATAGAATTTCCTCGAGGACAGACAAGTGTGATATTGAGGCTGGGTCAGAGACAGCTAAGCAGAGGTATCCTACCTCATAGATGAGCACTGCAGTTACCAAGCTAAGCCTTTGAGCTGGATCCTCTCTCATCCTACCCTTATTCAGAGAGTGCAGGGTGCAGAGACTCTGGGGACTTCCATAGAGTCAGGGAGCTCAGATGGATGAATAAAAGATTGTGACTTATTTTTTTAGGTACCTAATAATAAGAACATGTTGTGATGATAAATGGCAAAGAATTTTGTGGAACTATAATTTGGAGAGAAAGTATTTTGCAAGTTAGTTAGTAGCCTACCTGAATCTAAACAGATGATGTCAGTTATGTCAGGACAGCAGATCTCTGAAGACCACTTCTGACAGATGAGACTTCTGAAATACTTCTAATTCACAACCCATTCTAAGATTCTAATGCAAGACACATAACCTGGAAAGCCTGACAGGTCCAGCTGCCAGGAGAACATCTCTTCCTAATGAAATCTGCATTATTGGTAGCATTAGAAAAATTAAGTAGAAATGTAAAAATAAATAACTTGGGCTGGAAAAACAGCCTTTAAGGAGCAGAGAAATTAATATGGGCTATTAAAAAGTCATTTCTTACTTTAATATACAGAATTCAATCATATTTTCAAAACGCTAAGAAAAGTATTTAGGTTTTGTTTTGATTAGTAGATGTGCACAGGACTTGAATCTACGTTTTGACCAAATATGATATACAGTATACTTTCATATATAGTCTTGAAGTATTCCTGAAAGAGATTCATTAAATAATAATAATTATGTAAATAACATTAGACATGTATTTCACTGCAACTTACCTAAAATCAAGAACCGCAAGGTAGTAAATTTGAAAATGTCTTGAAAATAGAAAATGGTTTTAAAAAAATCTATAACCTATTGTAGGAAGTTGCAGAATAGAAACTCACAGCTGCCTAATTTCTTTTGCTGTTCACACACGCACACACATACACATACACATATGTAGAAAATTCATAAGTCTTCTTACACCATTAATTGCCTTCTTGTAAGTAATTAGACTCAAAATATTTGAGATTTACTTGAATTCATTCTCTGTTCTTTAAGTTGCCTTTCACTGGTGACATTTTTGTAATTCAACTTCTACTGTATGATGCAGAGCAAAGAACAAAGGCAAAAATATTGACGCAGTTCCCTGGCATATATGAAGGGATGTTCCAATAGAGCAACCAGCAAGAATGGTTTCAAAAAGATACATATGGTTTAAGAATACTCCATTCTTTGTCCACAGTAACTGATACTGAGACATTGCACTTGCTTGAAAATGCAGTGGTGAATGTCTGCTGAAGATCAGCATGTTAGTTATACACAACAGGAGTCTGCAAAGAGTTTGTTTCTCTTTCCTCTTCAGAGGCTGCAGCAAGTCATAGTCGTCTTCCAAGCCAATTGTAATAAAGCTCTAGAAATCTGTCCTTTTACTTAAAAATAATGCACCAGCTGAATACATAATTCAGTATAAATTTAGTCATTTTACTAATAGCAATAATTCTGATATTCATTAATGTCTAAAGGAGGGAAAATCAGATTATTTTAATTATTCTGTATATCCAACTTATTTTCTGTAGAAATGGTGTAAGCAGAATGCTGAGTAAAAATTACAATGATATATTAAAAATACCATATGAACCTTACAATATAACTAATGATTAAAATGCTGTTGTATGCTGGTATGATATCAGCATTCCAGACTGTCATTTTCTGCAGAGGCAAAAAGAGAGAGAGTAAGGTCAGACAAGAATGCACTGAAACTTCGCTTATATTGGTACTTCTAAGAGTTCATAACAAAGCTTCTGCTAGCTCAGTTTGGCCACGTGCTGTAACATTTAAAACATGAAGATGTTTTGAAATACGCTTAAAATGAAATTATTTTACCTAGAAACTATACTGGAAAGAAAGAATATAGCTTTGGATTTCAGTGGCAATTTGTTTTCTTCATAGATGATGATTTCCTCTGCTGGGTCAAATTCTTCAGAGTTTATTGAAATATTTATTGAAATTGCTGCTGCTGGTCTCTTTTCCTAAGTAAAGTTCAGTATATCCAAAACCTAAACCTAAATAAACTTGGAAGGTTCCGCAATCTGGAATCATCACGCAGTGTCAAACTGCAGACTACTGAATGCAATCTATATACTGAGATAGGGGGAGAAAAAAGTATTAGACACCGAAATGAAAATGAAATGCCTGCAACAGTATAAGAAGAGATAAATTACATTCTAAATATTTTGGATTTTTTAAATGCTGAAGTCTATAAAGAGTAATTATTAGCAACCGTGCACTGAATGTGCATTAGACTTTCTGCAATACAAAACAAAACCATTTTTTAGTGAAAGAAATACTGACACTGTAGGATCTTACTGCCCTTTTTTGCATAAGTTTCACAGATATCTTAAGGAAATTAACTACTTCAGCAAACCAACTGCATCCTATAATTTCATGAAAACTGAATTTTACATCAGGAAAAAAGCAGTCACACAGTTTAAAGCATTTTGTGGAAGCGATGTAAATATTTCTTACTGTATCCTATAATTATCCAATTGTAGAAACAAGAATTTAAATTCCATTATAAAGCAGTTTTAGTTCTTATTTCATCAGCAAGGTGGCATGGTAATGAGACACCCACATATATACATTCTGATTCTGCTTACAACACCCTTTGTTTTTAATCTCAAATCTCTTCCTCAAAATAGCATTTATTTCTACATCAAATTTAATGAACTCATTTATATAACCTGCATTTTTTTAGAAAATAATCCTGTAGCCCATTTGCAGTGTCCTAACTAATAGTAAGCATTAAAGCTGAGACTGCTTTGCTTCTCCATCGAGCCTCCAGCTGTCTGAGAGGTAAAGGTAACACGCAAGCTCCTGCATAACCCACGAGGATGAATCAGATTTCATAAGGCAGCTGAAATCACATTATATGCCTGTGTCGAGGTAACTGAATACCACCATCCCAATAGTGCCATAGCTCACAGAAATCTGATGGTCTTCAAAGTGACTTCATGGAAATTTTTAACAGCTACTTTCATCAAAATGTGAAGAGCCCTGCGGTCAGCCAGAAACATTCTTTACATTTAAAGCATATATTTGTCCTAAAAATGATGGATATGGACATATCTAATCTAAGGATATGGACAAATGTGGCAGAATAAGTATTTTTAAAATATTATCTCTAAATAGTTTTGATTTTTTTTTTTATCTGGAGTTTCTCAAATGTTAATAAAATATCTACCTTGATTTATTTTTTTCACAAAATGTCAATCCATGGTAAGCCCAACCAGCTGTGCTAGCTAACAGGGACCCATTTATCTTGAAATTGCAGGACCCAGTAGTTGTAATGCCAGTAAGTGGACTGTAAGTCCTCAAGTCCCATCAGGCACTGAACACACATGTGTATGCACACGCAAGCAGAATGCAAAAAATACTCTGCTTAATGGAATGTACATTATGGTGCTAATGCTCTCCTTTATGGTAAACTTTGTTGCTTATTGTAAGCAAATTGGTGTCCCAGATATGATCTGTGATCCTGCAGGACAATGACTTTGCATTCCTGTGTATAATCAAAAATGTTAAATGACAGGTAAAGCAACAGATTGAAAGACTGGGTCTAAAGATACAGTAAAAATTTGGTGGTGACAACTCCATGCGTGAAAAAAACCACCAAAGCCCGGTCATATTATGGGGCTTTTTGTTCATTGTTCATATCTATCATTATATATATATCATATATGCATATATCATATATCTATCATGCAGCATCAAAATGCTGCATGATCCCATCTCTTAGGGATTGAATGAATGTCCCTAAGCTCTTAAACCTGAGAGAATGGCTTAACCATAAGATGAAAAGAATCACAGAAAATAGCACAAAACTCACCACATCTACCTTACCATGTGAATAATTGTCTACATTTTAACCGATCCAGTATACCTTTTGTGCAATTACCTCTCTTAATACTGTATGTCCACTAATGAGCTGTCCTTTGTTTCTCATTGCCATCTCTGCAGGTCAGTGTATGGTGAAACTAATTTCAAAGACAGGAAGTTAATCACAGCTGTTTTTAATAATATAAAACCTGAAGATTAATGCGTAGCACAGGTGTCCCTGAAGCCCTCATATTTAAATTTCCTCATACAATAGTTTCTGGTGATTACGTTTTCAGGTGGCACTGCAAGCATACTCACCCCTAACAAGTAGCTCCGTCTCATCTGACACGGTGTCTGCTGTCGTCTGAACCCTGCAGCCGTATCTCCCAGCATGCATCAGGAGGATGTTTCTGATCATTAAATCTGCAGAGGATGCTTGCTGAAACAGGGATGAAGTGCCAGTTTAAAATTCAGTAAATCTGTGTTCAAGGTAGTGAGGGAGTTTTGCACAGTGTGAGGAACTCATCATTGCAGCTTTCATCTTAAAAATGTATGCGCCCTAATACTCTCTTTCAAGGATTATCAGAACACTGCATTTATACAATTATTAATAGGGATTAAAGAACAGGATTTCAGGTTTTTAATAACTTTGACTTCGCTTAAAACACCCTGTGCATATTTGCATGCTCAAAGAAAATTATCCCAAACTAGTACAAAGAAATTCATTAAGGAGATGAACAGAAATATTTTGGACACAATCCTTGGTATTAAAAAAGTCCTCTTAGAAATGAAGGGTTCTTTCTTCCTCTTCCTCTTCCCTACAGTGCAGTGACATTTCAAGAATGTTTTGCTAGTGTAATGAAATTAAGGTAACTTGAAAGATAATTTTTTTTTTTTATTAACATAGAGGAAATTAATACTAAATATGATTGAATATGAACAGATTCACATTTTTCCTGTTGAAATCTGTTATATACCAAAATCTGTGTTAGGCAAACCCTGAATGAGTGTACACAGAGAATCAGTTCAATTTTTTTTTAGTATTCCAGCCAACAGTAATTACAAGGTCCCAAAGTTATGAGCAGAAAAGAACGGAAAAGTCAAACTGCCTTTTAAAGCAGTAATATTAGATTTTACATGTACAAAATCACTGCTATATCCAAACTGAATGGAGTCAATATATCTCACTTCATCAGATTCAGAACCCAAGTCCATAGATATTGTTGATTTAATGTAGTCACTACTCAGGGAAAGAACAGGTAAGTGAGAACAGAAGTCACCAGGACAGCATGGTGTAGCAATTACAATTTACTTTCTCAATTCTGCATCCTAAAAATGCTTGCGACATTTTTGATTTAAGGTAAGCACTTACAATTTTAGCAAATTACTGTAAAGTATTTTTGTTCTTTTCAAGAAGTAAAGAGTAAATGGAAATAATTTTACGTTTTAAAATTACAAATGGAAATAACTTTAATGGAAATTAAAATGGAAATAACTTTAATGTATTAACTGAGTGTAGACAATGTCCTGCAAATATCTCAAAATTATCTTATCATTGCTACTTTCCACAATATGTGAAACTAAAATGTTAAGTTTTTTCAGCATAAATGTACAGTTTGAATAACATTATATTACACATTCCACATAACATTTGTATAATGTAATTATGGACTATATAATACACAACCTACGATATATAATGCATATTTTTAATATTTACAAAACCCAATATAGTTTATAATGTATAACAGTATATTATAAATAATATTGTATTATATAAACCACTATTATATTATTCTGCTATTAACCATTATCTAGAGCTTATATAATACTATGCATATAGAAAATATATATAAAAATATGTAGTATGTAGTATATAATATAATCTGGTATAGTGTAATAAATGTAGTAGGATATTACATATGACATTATATATTTCTATAGTTAATTATATTTACCATATACCCTATATTGCATTTTATATGTTACATATTAATACTTGATTACTACACAGCTAATATAGTATAATACAAATTAATGTATGATAAGTATTATATACAAATGGCTATAGGCAACTCGTTTGTGTTTTACTTTAAGAAACATTTATTGAGTATTGGCATTTCCCTTCTCAGATCTATCTGTCTATCTATTTATCTATCTATCTATCCATCCATCTGTTTTTATTTTGCTAATCAAGCAAAGACTGGCAGTCTTTCCCTGTGTAATAATATTCCTGTGCAGTAGCTCTAATTTGAGCAATTTCAATCCTGAATTAGTAGGACTGTTCCCTGCATTCAAAATAAATTCTTTAAATGCTGTACAAGTTGATACTTCTCAAGCAGTGCTGCAAATATGTCATTGACTTCATCTAGATTCATATTTGCCTTTTTTGGCACGTACTTATTCTGTGCTTAGGTAGATAAAATCAGAACTTTATCCTTCTTAATCATTTGAAAGTTACAAGCTTGCACTTTATAACCAGTTGTCCATACGTACATGACCTTGTTCTTTAAAGTATTACATTTCTTGTCTGTCCCCATGTGTCATTTTCATCACCTGCACTATCGGTAACATGTCTGATTTTTTGTACCACACAATTGTCATTTGCATACTTCTATCTCTTATGCCAAGCTCATCAAAGACAAGATGAATTAGAATTTGTTCCAAGATCCAATCTTCTATATATATATTTTTTTTTTTCCTTTCTCGGCAGAAGAATTCCCTTTCATCACATCCCTGGCATTCCTTCTTCAGCCAATCTTCTCTTCATTTGCATCTTTGGAACTGAATTTATCGTAATATTCAATGCAGCACTAAGGCAAAATCTTCGCTGAAGTATATTCACATCCAAAGAAGGAAAAGACAGGTGAGACATCAAGTGGGCCATCGAGACCATAGGGAATGTGTGAAGATCTAAAAGACTTGATCCATTGCACCTTTGAATCTAAAAGTGTGAATTCAAAGGTAGTATTTTGCCTTCTGAAGTGGCCTTGTTAATGATGCTGCTGGAGGGAAGATACTCAGACTAGTCAGGGTATAGTGAAATTCCTGTATTCTTGCTCTGACATATCAGAAATCACATCAGTGGAAAACAGTATCTGAGTACTTTACATTTCTAAATGTAAAAGAAGAGCGCACACTCTTATCAGGAGTCAACTTCAGGATACAAGTTCTTTTGTAGTTGTCCAGCATTGCAGCATTTATTAGCCATTGAAACATGGGCTGCTCAAGATGATTAGTAATTCTGGTACAAAGCCTCAGCTATTACAAGGATAACACCAGAATCAGTCCACATTTGTCCCCTCTCAAGGGTAATTTACATTTAATGTGGGTTTTGTTGTTAAGTGGGAGGAAAAGCATAATGGATAGCAACTGTCTGGTTTCATTGCTCAGGAGCTGTTAAAAATCTTGGCTGTCACTATCTTCAAAAGGGTTCATGACTGTGTGAATCCTAATTTTCTTATCAGGAAAATATGTATGCATTTCATCTCTACACCTTTGTAACTGGGCAGACAAGCAGCAATTGAAAGAATCATTGCTGTAAGTGGAGAGCAGTGCAGTACAATAGAGCCCCATGAAACACATTTATTACAGCACAACAGGATGTGCAGCCGGCATTGTTTATGGTGTCTGAGTGGAAATAAATTAATCTCCCTGTGTTTAATACAAATGGATATATGCTTTGATTTCTGATCATGGGAAAGAAGACATTTTAGCTTCTATTTAGATAAGTAGGATCTATGGTTGACCTCGACCTCTAAAAATTACCATATTATTTGCTGTTCAGTGGTATTTATAAAGTGGTCTTTATTAATTTTACAGACTTTTCCAGGTCTTGGAAGACAGATAATTTTGTTGATCAATTTATGCTGCAATACGAGGTTCAAGGCCACAAGAGGGCCTGGGGTGTTAAACTGGTGTGCTGGTCTTCCTGGTCTTAAGAAAATCTCCACACCATGTCATTGCAGCTGCTGCTTAAACTTGAGCAATTGTCAGTTTTAAAGAAACCCCAACTGCTAAGCAGGAATGCAGCAGACACTTCATGAAGAAAAGTATCTAAGATCAGAAACCTCATCTTTTGCTTTTAGTCTTCTCTCAGTGGAAAAAGACATAACATTTCAGTAGAAGCAGAGACATGCCCTCCCCTTTGGGGAAGACAAAACCTGGGTGACATGGATGCAATCAGTGTAGAAGATCTCTCATCTAGACTAAAAGCCTGGTGTATCAGCAACTATGTGGTCTCAATGACATTCAAAGATGAAATAAGAGGTGTTTACATATAAATTTCAACTTTGTTAAGTGTATGTTTTTAAAAGCTGTTTTTTAATCCACTAATTTCATGCTCTTCTCTGACAGGCTGCATTTTGCACTAGTTCCAAGCAGCATTTTATTAGAAAAATCTATGTTCCTTGATCTCTGAATATCATGTATTATCCATTCAGCAAAGTATCAAAAGTATTTATATTTGTTCAGTATAAACTTCTTCTGTGTGGAATATATTTTGTAATTTACCGAAGCTAAGTCCTAAAACAAAACAATACAAAAGAACACAAAACAGGTTTAACAACCAACTTCTAATGAGTTTAAGGAAAGCTAAATGTAACCTTCAAGGCCGGCATCAGCTATGGACTTAGTGTAATAATGAAAACAATTCTGGTCTTCATTAAGCGGTGAATAAATAATAATACAGCTATCAATGCTATCTGTCATGACTAATGGTTCTCTCTAGGACCACAAATTATTGTCTAATTCATATTATGCTAACATGTATCCCATTCATCAGCTTCTGAGTGGCTCCAGTGCTGAGTGCTGTGTCAATCTATTGTTCTCTCTGCTCCAGCATGGAAAGTTGTTGAGGTCATAGTAGTGTCTGCAATGTATTTTATTAGCCTCACTTGTAAGGTGTTTTGCTTGAAGTAATTTTAAAGAAGAATCGGTGCCACCTCTACATAGCATTTGCGGAGATACCTCCCCAAATTTAAAAAGGTTCCAAGAGGTACATAATATGCATACTTTGCTCAATGAGAATCACCTTTTGCACCCACTGCCCTAGTGATGGGCATTTGCAGAAGGGGGAAAAAAACCTAACATGCAGAGGTTACTGTTATTGAGTTAATATGTCTTCAGCCATCTCACATCCCCACAGAGAAATTGTATGTGGATTTTTTCCTTTCCATTTCATAAATCCTAAGAGGTTGTGAGTTACTTCGGAGTAGAATAACTTTTACATGTGGTTCTTCAAGTGAAGAGAATTACACTTATTCTTCCCATGAGAGTCAGTTCATTATCTCGAGACAGTTGCTAGGAAACCTCCCTGTTAATCTGTCCATTCATTTACTTATTTTTTATCTCTAAACCAAAGTGGTTCTTTCAGTATCCAGCCTTTTCTTTTGAAGTCTTTACACAAGAAAAATCTATAATCTGCCAGCATTTGAACTG